GTCGGTGCGTTTCACGTCCTTCTTGAACCTGGCAAGTGTCTCCACTGGGATATCTTCTGTATCGTCCCAATTGGATAGTTGGACTCTCCTTCCGTTGGTGTTGATGCTTGCAGTATGGTTTACCCAGTTGATCTCGGGGTTGAATTTCTTAAGGAAGTCTCGCTTGAAAATCAAGTCAAGCCCTTTTATGTTGGTGATGGGGAGTGCAAGTTTCCAGCGTAGTGGACCGATTTGTAGGTGTAACACTACTTCGCCATACATTGGTAACTTGCTGACGTCCACCATCGTTGCAGAGAATGTTGAAGGCTTGTACGCCATGCTATTTGCTTTAGGAGAAAAGGACAGGATTATGCTAGATGTGGCGTGCCAGTACATCCCGAGCCTGGTTGGTGATATAATTATAATAATCGGATAAACCAAAGGATATTGGAAAATGAGGAATAGGAATCCAAAGGAGATGAGATAAACATCAAATGAATCAAGAGAAAAAGGAGATTAAGAAAGATGGAAATGAGAAAGAAGTGCAACGAGGTCTTACTCTCACACAACGCCAGCCCACACGGCGCCAACACACTCCGCGCTAGGGCGGCTGGTGCCAGCGCGCACAGCGCCCGCGCTCTCAGTGCTAGCGTGCACGGCACCAGCGCACAGGGCGCCCACGCGCTCGGCGCCAGCGCGCATGGCACCATCGCCAGCGCGCACGGCGACAACGCCAGAACCAGCGCCAGCGCCATGCATGCTCGCGCCAGCAGCATGGAGCTGGCAGCCGAATCTCGCCAACAGCAGCAGAGAATCTAGCAACTTAGTTTGGTAAGCAGCCAAGCAAATCTACCTTAGGGGGGTACATTAAGAGTTAAGCGTTCAAAAATGTGTGGTAATTTTCTTCGCGAATATCGTCAAAGGTTTTTGCCATAGCCAAATGGAACCAGAACTTCCTGGTCAAGCATGTAAATCGCCTCCTGACCAACTGCGTGGGCGAAGCGTTAGTCCGAAAATCTTCGAGTCGATGTTCCACCAACAGCACATCCCGCGACACGGCAAGGTTATTCGCAAAGCCACGACAGTCACGAGATGACGAAAAGTCACCCCGTTATTTCACCACACATGAAATCCAACATGATGTGGGCCAACTTTGCTTCTCCTCTTCACTTCGCCAACGTCTACACTTTCCGTGGTCGCACTGTATTTTTGCTAAGCTCGCGAATATGGTGTCCGAAGACAAGTCCCCCCCCCAACCCCCCCCCCTCCCTTAGGCAGCCCCAAGACTCGGAGATGAGTGGAGTTCACTGCGCACCCTGAATCAAAGGGCCATACTATGACCGGCAGCGTTTCCGATCCGTATATTACACTGAGCCAGCTCTAATGGGGTTTGATCTCACTTTTTATATGTCCTACTTCATAAAAATCCATGTTAAATTATATGTCTTGTAATTTCTCTTAGGCTTGGTAGTTGGGCTACTTTATTGAATCCTACTGTAGAGGGTACAACTCCTTGTTGAAGTAGGCAAAGGCCTAGTAGAAGCTAGGCATAGAAGATCGTGGAGGTTTTAGGTGCTAGGAAAGTTACGAGAGAAAAGAGAGTGAGATGAGAAGAGAGAGGAATACAAGGAGGGAGTTGTACCCTATATAGTAGGATTCAATAACAGCTACCAAGCCTATAATGATATATAAAATACGCCATTTAACATACCCCCTAGGCTTGGTAGGACCAAGCCCACCCAACACCCAACACCCCGAAGTGTTGAAATGAAAGAATGAACTAGAATGTGAGGATACAGGGGCATATAGTCTAGAGTGTTGTACCCTCTATAGCATGTCCCTATGTAGTCTACTAAATATACACACATATGTTTGACACACCCCCTAGACTAGATAGGGGCAGTGCCTGGAAAGACAAGTAGCTCAGGGTGGCACTACTAGTCCAACCTCTGAGGCAAGGGTCTAAAGACCAGTCAAAAGAGTACAGCCAAGGCAAGAGCAAGACAAGGGCAGCACTACTAGTCCAGCCACTGGGAAGAGGCCACAAGGCCAGTCGGGATAATAATAAAGAGATATACACAATCAAGGTCCTAGCAAGCGAGGTGCTACAGGAACTAGACCAAGCTGTACACAGTGCCGTTGTTGATCTTTAGGCGCAAGCGCCTTCGTAAAGATATCCGCTGTGTTGGCACCGGAGGCCAAGTGTACTACGCGGGCCTGGCGACGTTGCTGTAGCTCGCACAGGAGGAAGTACCGCAGCTGGATGTGCTTTGCTCTGCCCTCGAGTCTAGGCTCCTGACACAGGACGATCATGGCCCTGTTGTTAGCGTACAGGACCTGGGCAGAGCTAGGCGTCTCACCTAAATCAGTGAGCAAGAAAGTCAGCCAGCGGAGCTCCTGTGCCGCCATGGCACCGCGTGGATCTCAGCCTCATAGCTAGACTGGGCGATGAACGACGAGCGGGTGGACCTCCACGATATGGCACCCGAACCATGGCTAAAGCAATAGCCATGCGACGACCTGAGTGTCTTAGCATCGTTTGCCCAAGAAGCGCCTGTGTGCCCAGTAAGGACCACTGGCCTGCGTCCTCCCAGTACTAGCCCCATGCCCGATGTACTTGCTAGATAACACAAATCTCTCTTAGCGGCCGACCAGTGCTGTGGTCGGTGTCCGCCTATGACAACAAAACGAACCAGGATGCTGAGAGGGTATGCGAGATCTGGACAAGTGCAAGTTATCGAGTACATGAGGCAACCCACCAGCTACGCGTAAGGGCCACTAGGCTCAACAGGCTCCTTAGGAACTCGAGCAGAGAGCCTGTGGTCTACTAGCAGAGGGGTGGGCTGTGGTGAAGAGAATTGAAGGCCGAACCTCTGAAGGACCTGGCGCACCAAGTGTGACTATGGGAAAGTGATGGTGCGTGCTGCTCTGTCCCTGGAGATCTACAAGCCAAGATAGCAACGCAATTCTCTTAGGTCAGTGCAGGTGTGTCTCCTCAGCAGCTCGGCCTTCACAGAGGCCAGTGCGTCTCTGTCTGGAGTAGCGAAGACCAGGTCGTCTACGTAGATAAGAATATAGAACAGAGTCTGGCCAGAACGGACGAAGAACGATGGGTTTGCAGACAACGGAAAGAACTGCAGCAAGCGTGGCACGCAGCGTGTTGTGCCACTCACGGGGCGCCTAACGCAGGCTGTAGACAAGGCGCCGGTGGAGCCACTCCGTACTAGGAGCGAAGGTACCGGAGAAGCCCTGGAGGCGGCGCAGGTAAACCTGCTCGTGAAGACTGCCCTGGAGGAAGGCTATGGAGAAGTCAAGGGAGTGCAACTTGTAGTCACACTATGCTACCATGTGTGGCAACGTCCGATGAGTATTCATCTTCGGGGTGGGGGCGAAGGTCTGAAAGAAGTCAACAACCTCATGCTGACTGAAGCCATGAGCGACGTAGTGCGCTCTGAAGACAAGCGGCTCTCCAGGAGGGCGCTTCACATTAAAGAGCCACCGGCAATCGACCACATTCACCCCACATGGGGAAACGAGGTCGACGAAGGTACCGCTGGATCTCCAAGATGCCATCTTCTGCTCCATCGCAGCTCTCCACAAAGAGGCCTAGTGTCCCGAGGTCGCCTCAGCGTAGGTGCGAGGGGTCGGGATGTCGAGTGCGTCTAGGTCACCCTCAGGGACTGGCAGCATGGAACAGAGATGGGTAGCAGCCTCGGACAGGAAAGCAAGCTCGTAATGTCTGTCCTCTAGGACGTCACTCCCAAGGGCAGCCACACCCCTGACGGACGGAGGACAGGCAGGGTCGGAGACCAGAGCTGTGGCGTAGTCAAGGGGGGGGGGTAGCGGCAAAGTCAGTGACACCAGCGACAAGAGCCGACAAACTCGAGACAGGAACAGACGGGTCGGTAACCAGAGAGGCAAGTACACTAGGAACAAGGGGACGCGTGGCACGGAGGAAGTCAGGGATCGGAGGCGGGGCCACTGCGAGCGACGACGGAGGAGGAGACGGGAGGGGAGAAGCACGAGACGCGTGGGAGCGAAGCAACATAGGGTGAGAACTCTGGACTGGGGAGGTAAGACGGGCACGGGACGGACGACGAGCCCCCCCCCCCCCCCCCCCCACACACACACACACCCTAACTCTAACACCCCCATATTGAGCAGCAGCGACAGCTACTCCGAGGTGGTCAACCGCTCGGCACGGGAGGCGTCGACGGCGACACTGAGGGCAGCGGCTACAACGGCGGCAGCGTCGACAGCGGCGGCGTGGCCGCAAAGCAGGTTGCAACAGCGGCGGCGGCGGCGGCGGCGGTGGCTTCGACAACAGCGGCGGATGCGTAGCCCGCACCTCTCGGCGGCATGGTCGTGCTCCGCGACGAGGGGACGGCCGCCGGGAGTCAGCCGTCGGCTGCGGCGAAGAAGAGGGGACGCAGGGGAAGGGGGGCGGGGCGTGGTCCAGCATCACGCCCGTGGCTGGCGTGCGGGCGGCAGGTCTGGCGGCGCCTCACATATTGCGCGGCTGGCTGCCGCCGGACAACGCCGCCACGGCAGCTGTAAGACGCCGCCACAGCGCGGTGTCGATGCTGCGGCGGCAAGTCGGAGGTGCGACGGCAGTACCACGAAGCCACCGCGGCATCTCGGAAAGGCCGCCACGGCGGCACGAAAACGGCGACTGACGAAAAACGAGTACGCGGCGGAAGCGTGGGGAGCAGGCCCGGGAAGGGCGACCTGCTCTATGACCATGTTGAAGTGAAAGAATGAACTAGAATCTGAGGATATAAGAGTATATAGTCTAGAGTGTTGTACCCTCTACAGTGCTGATCTTTGGTTTTTCACTACTCTGAAATCTGAAAGCTTCTTTCACCATTACTCTGAAAACTAGAGTGGTCCTCAACATTTTCCCTGAGGCATCAGGGTAACCCCACAATTTCAATATTTTTACTCTGGCTAAACAGGGGGGTATTTTTTCCGGCTCTGGTGAATGCTTGTTGCAGAGTAAAATAGTGACAGCAACAGTTGTTTTAGTAATAAAGCATAGCACAATATTACATAACTAATAATCATCATCCACGTTGTCATCCTCACTCCCACCTCCGACACTCTCATCGTCTGAGCTCTCTACAACATCCTTCTGCTGTGGGAAGAGGGGAATTTCCTGCTCAAATTCAACATTCCTAGCTTGCCTACGGTGCCTAATGCGCCTCCACTTCTCCACGATCTGGGGGTAGTCCATGTCGTAGTCCAGCATGCTAATGGTCATCAACTCACCAAGGGTGGCATCGCACAGGCTTGTGCGATGCCATCCTTTGATGACATTCTGCCGTGAGAATCCGCGCTCGCACTCGACGGTGCTCAAGGGCAACACCGCCAGCGCCTGCCACATCCGCATCAGGTTCGGGTACGACTTGGACCAGTCCTTCGTCTTCATCATATTGGCCAAACCCTGGGCGAAGTCGTCGTCCTTGCGATGAGTCTTCATGATGTGGCAAAAGGTCTTCAGCTCCAACTCCATCGCTCGCAGTTCGACTCCTTTTGGCGGGGAGGGAGGGGGGGGGTAGGGGCGTTCATGGCACGAAAAGGAGGTGTTGAAGTAACAGAGGAGACACCGCATCTAACCAGATTCAAGACATACGACAGGACCTCTTTTAGAGCCACTGACCTGGCAGCTTGTTGTCAAACAGCGCCATATTCTGTTCAGCCCACTTGCGGCACCGGCGCTCCCGCACCTCTGTCTTCTTGGGCCACTGGTCCACCTTGTAGAGCTTTGACCCCTCCATCCGCTTCATGTCCCACAGCCGCCCCTCCAAGCACCCCACTGTCTCCTTGGCGAACGCCGTGCAAAGGTCTTCGCAGTCGGAAGGAGTGCCGCCGAACGCATGTCCCGGGATGCGCGATAACGTGAGCTCGAACTTGTGCGTGCAGGGAGAGCCATCCGTCGCGATGCCGTGCACCTCGAGCGACCCCTTGCCCTCCTTGTAGCGGGCGAGGAACTTGTCGAGCTGCTTGCTGAGCCCGCCGCCGAACCGCTCCCCGTACTCGATGTATCGGTGCTTGATGTAGGTGACAGTGCGGTCGACCTCTTGGGTGACGAGCGTGATGTCCACCTGAAGGTTGGGGCGGGAGGGCAAGGGCAAAGGACAGGATGTTAGAACAAGTTACACGCTAGACACACGCCCAAGATATTAATGAACTCAATGAGTTGCGACAGGAACGAAAAAGATTCAACTTACCGTGCGGCGCTGGAAAAACCTGTTCAGAGTGTTGAGCTCAGCGAGGATGTCGGCGAGGAAGTTGAGGCAGAAGTGGAACTTGAAGGACTTCAGAAGCGCAACGTGCTTGTGCTTGTACTCGATGAAGACGACGATGACTGCGCCAAGAATCCTGCAGAGTCGCCGCACAGCGTCACCACGTGCAAGCCACCTTATGGCGTAGAGCCCCTGATGTTCGAGGTTCGTGTCGTGGATGACAAGCTGCAGAGCCTCGAACCTTTCGTACCACGGAGTCGAGCGACCGACGATTTCCCCGAAAGCTCGGATGATAACGTCGACGATGAACAGGTCGGGGAAGGAGTTGGAGGCGTCTTTGACCGCCAGCGCTTCTCTGCGATGGCACCAAGGCACAAGTGAGATTAGAAACATGCATGGATAATCATAGAGACATGGACAGGAGGGTACTGCGACGGCAGTCTTACCGATATGCGATGCAATGGCAACCGACAAGGTGCGGGATACGCAGTCGGAGTCGAGCGACGAGCCCGTTCTTCTCGCCGGTCATCACCGATGCCCCATCGGTGCTAATACCGGCGATCTTTTGAAGCTCAATGCCACTCCCTTCCAGGTGACCCAGCAGGACAGACTGGAGCGACGCAGCATCACACTTGTCGATGGTGAGCAGGCTCAAGAACTCAGTGACGACGCGCCGCTTCTTTAAGAAGGTGCCGAAGACGATGAGGTGCTTTCCGCGGGTGCGGTCGGTACTCTCGTCGCAGCTGATGCCGATGAACGGGGAGGAGTGGATGTGCTCCATCTGCTGTGCCTTCAAGAAAGCCACCATGGCTTTCACCATCTCCCTGAATCCATACCTGCGACAAACACCGTACAATAAGACATCAGATTAGACATCAGTCCCGTATTCAATACACTATACAAACACGAAAACAGTGCGCTTACTTCGTGATGTACGCGCCGTAAGTCTGCTTGGGTATGTCCTTCACCCCCTCCTGCGACAGGTGACCGATTAGACGTGTGAACATTGAAATCGGAGCATCTTCCTTACAGATGAATAGCATGGAGCGTAGAAGTCTGATGACGCGGGCGGCATCGGGGTCGTTCTTGGCGAAGTCGTCCATGCGCTTCTGGCTCTCGATTTCGTTGTCAAGGTGAGCTTGCTTCTGCACGCACGCCTCATGCTTGGTGCTCTCCTCGTGCCACCGCATGCTGCCAATCTGTAAGTCCCTGCCGCCAGGCCCATCGCGACCGTAGCGGGCTGTTGGCTTGCCATGCTGCATGCACACACTGCAACGTAAACAGGGTGAGCCATCGTCAGTTTTATCCAAGACGAGCCAAGGAAACCTTCCATGCCAATCTGAGGTATATTTCTTCTGAGCAGCAAGATAAGCTTTGGCCTTCATCTCGGCCGACGTTGGTGCGAGGGGTCGCTCTGCTTCAACGACGGGGGCAGGGGTTGCTGGCGGCGTTATCTTGGGAGGAGGCGCGAAGGGCAGATGTCTCTGCTGGTATCGTCGTCTCTTCTTAGCCGACGATGTTGATGCAGATGCCGGCGACGAGGGCACAGGATCCGGAGGTGGAGGATCTGCCGGCTTGTCAACCGACAGATCCGCCTCTTCCATTTCACGCTCCCATTCGTCGCTGCTTAGACTCGGGAGCGGCAGAGGCTCTACTGGGGGGGCGGTAAGTCGACGCTTCGGGAACGGAGGAGGGTCTACTGGGGAGGCATTTGTGCGACGCAAAAAGTCTAAACCGCTGAGTGGGGTCGAGCTACGTGGGGGTGGGGCGTCATCCTCATCCTCCCCGCCATCGTCGGCATCGCCCAGGCCAGCCATAGCTGGCGAGGCGGGACGACGAGAGGATTCGAGGCTGGCGGAATAGATCACGTTCGACGAGATGTGAGAGAGGGTTGCTAAACTAGTACACTAGCGCCTACTGCCGATGTATAACAGGGGGAGAAGAACAGGGTGAAGAAGACGAGGCTTTTCTCGCCTGTTCTTGATGCCCGTGGCGCCATCGACATGAAGGTTGGGTGCCTTCCTGAGCCATCCTGAACATTCGAGAAGGGCATATGCCCGCGCGTGCGGGGAAAGATTCCCGCAGTGTTGCATGCCTGTCGATGTGCGTGGCTGCAAAAAATGACGAAGGGGCCAAACAGAGGCACATACACGTACAGCGAGTACAAGTGTGGCAACAGTCGACGTGGTAAACTCGGGTGTGGCGCCGAAACCTGCGTAAAAAATACACTAGTGTCCAATAGGAGAGAAGGTTATCTGCCAGCAAGGGTGGGTCTGGCAACATATGACGTGGGCCAGCTCGGCGGTCTGCGTGAACAAGGCGAGGAAATGGGGGCATGTATGTGGATAGGGGGGGTACACGAAAATACGGGGGTATCCCCCTTACAGTAAACCCCTCAGGGTGGTACAAAAAAAAACCCTGGCTTATCAGAGAAAACATAAAATCTAAAAAATTTACCCAGAGGCGTAAGGGTGGTACACAAAATCAACTCTGAAAATCAGAGAATCAGAGTAATTTACTCGTGAAAAATAGGGACTGACCCTCTATAGCATGTCCCTATGTAGTCTACTAAGCATACACACATATGTTTGACACCAATCCCGTGCAACCCCATGTCCTGCAGCAGGTGGGGCTTCTACCCTTCGTGCGAAGCGGTGACACCCCCGACGGGTGGCAGCAACGGCATCAGCGGCAAGAGTGACGACAGCAGCGGCAGCGACAAGGAAGGTCAGCGGCACCAGCAGCGACAGCGGCAGCTTTGACAGAACTCTTTGGGGACGACTCCCTCCTTGTATCCCTCTTCTTATCTCACCCTCTTTTCTCTCGTAACTTTCTTAGCACCTAAATCTTCGAAAGCCTTCTTCGCCTAGCTCCTACTAGGCCTTCGCCTACTTCAACACAACTCCCTCCTTGTATGCCTCTCTTCTTATCTCGACACTTTCCTCAGGAAATTTCTCCTAGCCTAAAACCTCTCGCTGCTTTCCTATGCCTAGCCTTTCAACAATCCGCCCTTCAACAGGCCTCTTGATTGCTATTCTAGCACAAGCTTGACAGCCAACATATTTTTCCTTCATATACTACGCCGCCCCACGTATCATTATTATTATCCAGGGTTAGAGAGCTAGCACTGCCTCATCACCTCATGCGGTAATGCTGGGTGCGTGACGCCTTACCTCTGCGACCATCAAACGAGTATGTCACGGATATGTCTAGATCGCGAGGGTTCTTTGCGTTGGGCTTCACTTGCATCGTGCCGGTAACCGCCTCCCCTTGACACATGGTCAGCGTGTCTTCCAAGTATAGCACTGTCTGCTTCCAATGCGTGGACCGGCTCTTGGGACCTGGGGGGATGGTTAGGGGGGCACAGGGGGGGAAGTGGGGGGGAAGAGGGGGGGAGGAAGATGAGGGATAGTACAGTGAGAGAGTGCTGGTAAACGCCCCCCCTTGACATGGAGTGCGTGTGTTCTAGATATGGCATTGTTTGCTTCCAGCCTGTGCACCAGCTCTTGGGACCAGACCCACCTGTGGAGTAGCCGACTGGCTTGTGGCACTTGTTGAAGCCAGCATCGAAGTAGGCCACCAAAGCATGCACTACGTCGTTCCCCTCTCCCACCAGCTTGACCCACGAGGCACCAGCTTGACTCAAGAGGTACACCTGGACAACATTGAGCGTGCAGGGTCCGACCGAACCCACCTGTGGAGAAGCCGACGGGCTTGTGGCACTTGGTGAAGCCGACATCGAAGTAGGCCACGAGCGCATGCACAAAGTCGTTCCTCTCTGCCACGAGCTTGAAGGGCACTGAGAAGGACAGGTCTCCCCTCGTAACCTTGCTGATGTTGAGCGTCTGGGGGAGGAGGGGGGGAAACGGAGGGGGGGGGGGGGGGGGGGGGGGGGAGGGAGAAGGAGGGGGAGGGGGGAGGCAGAAGGGAAATGGGGAGTTAAAGGAGGGGGGGGTGAGGGGCAGCAATGGGACAGAGAGTGCACAAAGTCGTTCCTCTCCGCCACGAGCTTGAAGGGCACTGAGAAGGACAGGTCTCCCTCCCCTGGTACCTTGCTGATGTTGAGCGTCTGGGAGGGAGGGGGAAAGAAGAGGGGGGGAAGACGAGGGAGACAGAGGAGGGGATGAGGACAGAGCGTGCACAAAGTCGTTCCTCTCTGCCACGTGCGTGAAGGGCACTGAGAAAGAGAGAGATCACCCATTGTCACCCATTGTCACCTTGCAGATGTTGAGGGTCTGGTGTGGGGGGAGGGGGAGGGCGGGGGAGGAGGAGGGTGTGGGAGAGAAGGAAGGATGGACTGAGAAGTAGTGGGAGAAGGGAAGTATGCATGGGAGAGGAGAGGAGAGGAGACAGCATCTACAGTATCCACCAGAGGAAATCATGTGCAAGGTGGGAGAGTGCTAGTGAGGGTTTAGAGCAAGGTACAAACAAATGGCGTATTTTTCCTTTTTAGCCTGTATCATACTGTACCGAAATATACAACCGTTTAATACGGAAAAAAACGGTCTTGGGTGCGTTTTCATGTGTGCAAAAAAAATGTCATATTATACAGTCGTTTTTTTTGTGGGAGGTGTACAAGGTTTATGATTGCCAATCGAGGTCTTGTTATGTGGTTGGATTTGCTCGCGCTGTCGGGAAATTGTTCGCTCAACATTTTCCCGAAGCGCGAATGCAACCTCATCCGGAACCGCATATTTTGTGCATTTCGCATTGCCGTTGAGAAATTTCGGCAACACACGTTTGGAATTTCGCGGCCCACAGCGTGAATTCCGCCCTATGCGCGACTCATTTCGCGATGCGCGAAAATCCAGCCTGGCCTTTCCATTTCGCGTCCCCCTAAATGCCGTCCCTAAACGCAAGTTCACGGCAAACAGCAGTGACCCGTTTCCACCTCTCCCTCAAGAGGTTGCGGAGGAGGTGGATGAGGAAGGGAGTGAGGATGAGGCCGCCGAGTGTGCCATTGATTGGGACACCTTCCGGGACATAGGCGGGAAGAAGAGGAGGGCCAGTGCCACAAGGAAGGGGGGGACAGAGAAGGTGGCCCGCCCAACCAAGGGGACCAAGGATCGCGGCACTTGGTGAGAGAAGTAACATTAGAGAGAAGGAATTAAACTAGATTGAGAGCCAAGGAGCTCTTTATTACAGCAAAGGAGGAAAAGGAAGGTTGGAAGGGAATTCACCGCTATTAGCTACAATAGTGGCCAATGGGAGGTAGCTTGGAGGGGAGGCAACCCCAAAGTGTGGTAGTTGCTGATTGGTGGAGCTTTGGGACCATTTGGTTGGAAAGTGCCAACCAAAGGACCAAGGCCAAATCAAATCTTGACCAACCCGAAGCGTGGTTGGTGAACCCCAACAACAACCCCCCAAGAACTTAAATGTCTACACCCTCTATTCTAGTCATGCATGTTGTATATAAGTATAGATTACAACACTTGGGACATGGGCGAGGGAGAGGAGGAGGAGGAGGAGGAGGAGGAGGAGGAGGAGGAGGAGGAGGAGGAGGAGGAGGAGGAGGAGGAGGAGGAGGAGGCTGAGACTGAGGAGGAGGAGGCTGAGGAGGAGGAGGAGGCTGAGGAGGAGGAGGAGGCTGAGGAGGAAGAGGAGGAGGAGGAGGAAGAGGAGGAGGAGGAGGAGGAGGAGGAGGAGGAGGAGGAGGAGGAGGAGGAGGAGGAGGAGGAGGAGGAGGAGGAGGAGGAGGAGGAGGAGGAGGAAGAGGAGGAGGAGGAGGAGGAGGAGGAGGAGGAGGAGGAGGAGGAGGAGGAGGAGGAGGAGGAGGAGGAGGAGGAGGAGGAGGAGGAGGAGGAGGAGGAGGAGGAGGCTGAGACTGAGGAGGAGGAGGCTGAGGAGGAGGAGGCTGAGGAGGAGGAGGCTGAGGAGGAGGAGGAGGCTGAGGAGGAGGAGGAGGCTGAGGAGGAAGCGGAGGAGGAGGAGGAAGAGGAGGAGGAGGAGGAGGAGGAGGAGGAGGAGGAGGAGGAGGAGGAGGAGGAGGAGGAGGAGGAGGAGGAGGAGGAGGAGGAGGAGGAGGAGGAGGAGGAGGAGGAGGAGGAGGAGGAGGAGGAGGAGGAGTAGTCATTTGGAGGAGGACGACAAGTAGACACTTGGAGGAGTAGGGGAAGGCTTAGGAGGATTAGGGGGGAGGCTCAGGAGGAAGCCTAGGAGGATAAGGGGGGAGGTTTAGGAGGAGGAGGGGGAGGCTTAGGATGAGGATGGGGAGGTAGACACCTGTATGAGGAGAAGGAGGGGGGGGGCTTTAGAGGAGGGGGACGTAGACTTATTGAATGTAGAGGCGCTTCTATCTGTAGCCGCATTTAGATGCTGTTTTGACGTTAGACAGCCCATGGCAGTTGTCCCCACCTGTTTACTGGTCAGAGAGGGGTTTTTTTTTAGGGCACATTTTCGTCTATTGAAAATTCGGCGTATTTTTCCTCAAATCACCGAAAAAAACGGCCGTTTAATACGGCCCGTTTTTTTTTTTTTTCGGTTGCCGTATTTTTTCACCTTGGTTTAGAGTGAGTGAAAGTGAGTGAGTGAGAGAGTGAAAGTGAGTGAGAGAGAGTGGAAGCGTGCTCACTGCTCACCTTGACACAGCACGCGTTAGTGACGATCTGTTCGGCGTCCACCGTGTCGACTAGAGGCTCCAACATGGCCTTGTCTCGAATGCAGCTCATGTCGAACCCATACACCGACTGCCAGACTGCAGCGGGGGGAAAGGGAGAGGGTGGGGGGGAGGGAGGAGGGCGAAGGGGGGCGCGGGCGGGCAGGGGAAATGGTGGGGAAAACTTTGTGTCTCCGATGCAGATCATGCCGAACCTGTACACCGACTGCCAGACTGCAGGAGAAAAGGTTCTAGAATTCTCATAATTCTCAAAAATCACTGCCAGAGTGCAGGAGAAGCAGGAGTGATTGCACACGCACACAAGGAACCATGTTTGTGGTCGGCCCCGCACGCAAGGAACCATGTTTGTGGTCGGCCCCGCACGCAAGGAACCATGTTTGTGGTCGGCCCCGCACGCAAGGAACCATGTTTGTGGTCGGCCCCGCACGCAAGGAACCATGTTTGTGGTCGGCCCTGCACGCAAGGAACCATGTTTGTGGTCGGCCCCGCACGCAAGGAACCATGTTTGTGGTCGGCCCCGCACGCAAGGAACCATGTTTGTGGTCGGCCCAGCACGCAAGGAACCATGTTTGTGGTCGGCCCCGCACGCAAGGAACCATGTTTGGGAGTTTGTGTCCATCTCCCTCCCGGTGTCTGTGGTCGGCTCAACAAAAAATACAAAGAAAATCAATACTGATCAACATTGGCAAACTCACAGTGAATCTTCTCCTGCTTGTACTCAGCATCCTCGATTGCAACCATGTACAATGAACAGTGGTCCGGTAAAACTATGCCTCCATCCCCCTGCGTACATGACAGCAATTAAGAAAAAAGAAAGAAAGAAGAGAAAACCATGGCTTTGAAATAATAACTGTTTAAAATGATGAAGTGCTATCCTCCAACAGCCATCAGCCACTTGTTTCAAGCATGGACTCGTACACCGTACACTCACAGCACCCGACTATACCAGCATCCATACACTCACCAGCCACTTGTCTCTGGCGAAGAGCACTGTATCAAGCATGGACTCGTACAGCAGGAAGTACCCCATCCACTCCGATATAATCACATCCACCTTCTCGCCCTCCGGCAGTTCCACGTCCTCCACCTTGCCCTTAATCACCGTAATTACTGTAGGGCCGAGGGGAGAAGGGGGGAGGAGGGGGGAGGAGGGGAGCGGAGGGGGGAGCGGTCAGGGAGGATGGAATGCATAGAGAGGTCACATCAACCTTCCCCTCTCGCCCTCTGGTAGTTGCACGTCCTCCACCTTGCCTCTTATCACAGTGATTACTAGGTGACTTTTGAGTCGACTCAATAGTCACCTTGCCTTGTATCACAGTGATTACTGTAGTCGGGCGGGGGGGGGGGGGGGGGGGAGGGGGAGAGGGGAGGAGGGGGGTAGGGATGAGATACAACATAAGTTTTCCGGACGGAGAAAAGGACAAAAGTAGGGTGCGGGGGGCAGCATGTGCGACAGGCCCAAGCTAAGCAAGCACTTAGAAGAGGGAGGGGGGGGGAGGAGGGGAGGGGGAGGGGGGGAGGGGAGGGGAAGGGGGGGGGGGGGGGGGGGGAAGGAGACAACTACAAAGCATTGCGACGTCACGCATGCATGCGCACCAACGCACTGTGGCTCATGTGATTGGCTGCAACGATTTCACGCGCGCATTCCGCGATCTCTGAGCACTCCATCTGGATGGCACGGGGTTTAATGAAAGAAAAAGAGAAAAAGAGAAAAAGATAAGTTGACAAGTTTTTTAAGCCCGTGTCTCATATGTCCTACCGACCGAAGGCATTACCATTCGTGGGAGGGTCTGATTTGGGGGCGAGGGGCGAAATTCTGAAAGGGAGTGGGCGAGGGTTGCGACAATTTTGGAAATCGTGGAAGGTTCAACTTTGTTGAGGCTTCGAGTCTCGTATTTCTGCGGACCCATATTACCTTTGGTTTGAGCAGTCTATTTTTGAGGCGCCTCAAAATGAATAAACCATGCGTGAGTCTATTTTTGAGGCGCCTCAAAAATAGACTCCTCACGAAACGTTGAGGGCGTGGATGGTGGGGGTTGCTTCTCACAGTTTCGCAAGCAGTTGCAATTCCAGTGTTGAGTTTGGGCCGAAATTTTGTTGCTTGAGTCACTTTCGGGTCCTGATTCCGTGTACCCAGCCCAGGTTCCGAAACCTCGCTTACTGCGAACGCGTTCTCGGGTTCGCTTTGCTGAGGTTGGATATCTACTCTCGCACTCACTTGCGAGCCCTCGCACAAAGAGGAGCTACGTTACCTAGTACCAAGCGTATTACCTTAAGAATATGAGACCTGGGCTTTAACGCATCCAAGGCGATCTCTTATATCGCGTACACCTTCTTGGTGCCCGCCTTGGCCACAAAGAGCGAGAGAACGCACATGCCTGAGCCCAAGTCCCACGTCCATCACACCATTGTCCTAAACCCGAAACCTCCTATGCGTACTGAAGCCTTCTCTTAGCGCATACAGAAGCAACTCTTACCGCGTACACCTTCTTGGCGCCCGCCTTGGCGGCGAAGAGCGACAAGATGCCCGTGCCCGCGCCCACGTCCATGACGACCTTGTCCTTGAACAGAAACGCGCTGCCGCATATCGCCGCCTCGTACGTCTTGGTGCGCACCGAGTCCTTGAGCATCTCCTCGTGAATACCTTGAGGGGGGAAGAGGAGGGGCGGGAAGGGGGGGGGGACATTGTGGGAGAGGGAGAGGTGAGAGGGGAATGTGTGACGAGCTGCCGCAAAGCCGCCTCGTAGGTTTTGGCGCGCAGCGAGTCTTTCAGCATCTCCTCGTGAATGCCTGGGGGAAAATTGGGGGGGTTGTCGGGGGAGAGGGAGGGGAAGAAGGGAGGGGGGGGGGGGGGGGGGGGGTCGGGGGTGTATGAGGGGGAGGAAAGGGGAAAGGGGACGAAGGGAGGGGGGTGAATGCCTGTGGAAAATACCGCGGTTTTCGGCACTCAATATTTGTGATTGATCCCGAATCCTGAAGCGGAACCCCGAACCCGGAACCCCTGTGAAGTAAACCTGAACTCTCAACAGAAGGACGTAGTCCAAGAGACGGACGTCGCACATGATCGGGCCGCGCTTCAAGACGGCTCGAAAGACGCGAGGCAACTTCACATCCTCCCGAAGCGCCTGAGCAGCGATCACGGGGAGTTCGAGTCGCCTCTAAATCACGACGCTGAGAACTGTTACCCGCGGTAACAACTAAACAGCTACGACGCGCGAATTGTCGAGACTATGCGAGAAACAGTGAGTCACAAATTGGGAAAGTACCGAAGTGGGCGTAAGAGTCGAAGTAATAATCGGCGCTCGTAAGCTCCTTATCCCCCGACGACGCTCCGCCTCCCCCGCCTCCCGGCGCGTGCTCCCCCTCGTGCGCTTCTTGCGCAGCCCCGCTGGTCTCCATCGGCTCCGCCGCGGGCTGCTGCTCCACCAACTCTCCCCCCGTCCGTTCCGCCGCCTCCACTCCCCCGACGGCTTGCGCCGCCTCCGTGTGCCCCGGCTGCTTCTGCTGCTGCTGCCGCTTCTTGCGCCTTTGCTGGTTAGACGTCATGGCTAAAACGCTCCTGGTAGCGCGATGGGACGAGCTGTCACGGAGGGAGGAAGTGTGATGCGAAGGCTTTAGTCCGTGCGTTGGCGGGTTTATGGACGAGCCAGGAATAAGGGCTAGGTTCATGGTTTGGCAGACACTTGTCAGAGGAGAGGAGGAAGAGGGTTTTGTAGGTTACTGCTTTGGAATCGTAATCGTTATTACTTTTCCCGATAAGTTAAAACATAGTGAGAGGGAGTATGTAAATGTTAGCCTATATCTCATGCACTACACATGTTGCTACACATGTTATCAATTTATGCCTTCATTTCACTTGAATGAGACATAGCAGGTGCAAATTGTTACTGATTATGAATTGTATACTAATGCAAGTACGATTGCTAACGTTAGCTTAATCCAGTGTTCTAGGGTAAAATTGTTGATTTTTTCGAACTCCCCTTGAGCGGACTTACCCGTTTGTATCCAACATATCACGTGGTAATTAAGCTCTTTTTTTGCCAGTACTTATAACGCCAGGAGAGAAAGCCAATAACGAGGTATGGCACATCAAGAGTACAATCTAGCTTGTCTGACACACCTGTCAAAAGTTTATTTTTAGCTTCGAGTCGCGCGAAGACTAGAGTTAAAGAGCCTTACGCTTTCCATTTCCATCCTTCACGCACCAAGAACCAAACTTCCGAGCAACGAGAGCTACGCACGCAGCAGTGGAACAGAGCCTCCGCCTTTTTTTGAGTCGACTCAAAAGCAGTGAAAATAAGGCCTCCGCAGCCCACCTGTAATCCATCTAGGACTCAGAAGCAGTGGAACAGAGCCTCCGCCTTTTGAGGCTCCTATAAAATTGCAGCATCTGAATAGAGTCTCTCCGCCATCGTCTCTCGGCGTAGCACTTGAGAGCTTTTTGCCAAGCTAGGCCGACCTTCTGAGTAAAATGTTTAGTCAGTTCGTTTGCGAGCTCAATGCAAAGCCGACTTCGTAAGTCAGTCTATCAGCGACTTCGATAGCGAGCTCTGTGCACAGCCCGACGCCTTAAGGATTCCCGAGGATGGCCAGTATGGAAGCCATCATTATCGAAGCCGCCAGTATCGAAGCCGCCAGTATCAAAGCCGTCAGTACCGAAGCCGCCAGTATCGAAGCCGTCAGTATCGAAGCCGACACCAACGCGTCGTCGCGCCATGGCATCGCGTCTGCTCACGAGCGCGAACCCGTGTCTGACATCTGTCGCTTGCCGTTCGAGGTAAGGCATTCTATGGCTTATGATTCGACTCAGAGTGTTCTGTGCCTCATGTAACTTTTGAGTTGACCCGTCTGTAGCTCAAAACGATTCTGTGGCTTTTGATTCGACTCAGAGTGTTCTGTGCCTCAATTAATGAGTTGACACCATTCGCTTGCCATGCCTGACAGACATCTGCCGCTTGCCGTTCGAGCTAGTGCATTCTGAACCTCTAGGAGCTGATTACTGCTCGAGCTAAGAATCTGCTCATTCAATCCCGGTATTCTGAAGTGCATCGGACATCTTGAAGTGCATCGGACATCTTGAAGTGCATCGGACATCTTGAAGGGCATGGGACATCTTGGTCATCAGGCTGATGAGCTGTTATTGGACCTTAGCTGCCATGGATCCTTCGGAAAGAAAGAAAGAAAGAAGAAGAAGAAAAAGTTTGTTACTGTGCTCCCCCTTATTTTAGTATTCGTTACAGTCCTGAAATGATACTGCGCCGTATCTCATGTTCCTCTCATCCATCCTATAGCTCCCCTTTCTGCAGCTGTTGGCGCGAGTGATAGGCCATCTGCCATTGGTTGACAGAGCGCATGATGCCACGTCATGCAGCAGGCTATGCCTTGTGTGTAACCCACTGTGTACAATTCCTTTTTCACAAGTTAGCCAGCCACTTCCCCTCTCGTGTATACCATACTCCCTCCTCCCTCCCCCCCCCCCCTTTCCCCCCCCAACCCCCCCACTGCAGCTGCTGGCCCGTGTGATCAGCCATCTGCCATTGGCTGACAGGGCGCATGCTGCCACGTCATGCGCCCTCATGCGCCACGCTGTTGACAGGTGTGCTGTCTGCTGCCATGCTGGCAAGATTTGTGTATTACAGAGCCAAGGAATCATGACGTGTCACTATGTCACAGCTGTGCATGTATGTCATGGAGTGATCCTGCTCTTTTTACATCGTACTCGTTGCATTTCACAGCATGCTCGTGCTCTCACATAACACATTTCACCTAGTGCAGTCTCATTTCACATCTCACATCATCAGGCCAAACGGCCACAGTGCCAAAGCATCATGGCTCCCTATTACGCCACCCCTCTCCTTTCTTCCCCGCCCTCCCCCTCCCCTTCCACTTTCATAACCAATCTCCCAGCCCCCCCCTCTCTCACGTTTCTCGACCTCAAGGTCGGCACGGCACTCGTCGCCTCAACGATGCTGCCTGATATCATTCTGTCCCTCTTCTCCCTCCTTCCCTCCCCCTCCATCCCTCCGTTTTCCTTCACTTTCTGCTCCTCACTATCTGCTCCCCTCTCTCACGCTCCTCGACCTCAAGGTGGGCAATCCCTCTCTCAACGATGCTGCCTTCTTCTCCCCCCCACTCCTCCTCGGCCCTGCCCTCCCCCCCCCTTTCCTTCTCCCTCCCTTTCCCCTCACTCCCCTTTCCAGTCTGCTCCCCTCCCTCACGTTTCTCGACCTCAAGGCCGGCAGCCCCTGCCTCAACGACGCTGCCTTTGCTGCTCTCTGCTGCAGACTGGGGGCTGCTGGGGTCTTCTGGGGTCTTCTGGGGTCTGCCTTCTTTTCCTCACTGCGTCTTGTTACACCATCCCTCCCCAGTTTCTATTCACCCCTCCACCCCCCTCCCAGTCTGCTCCCTTCCCTCACATTTCTGGACCTCAAGGCGGGCAGCCCCTGCCTCGACGACGCTGCGTTTGCTGCTCTCTGCCGCAGACTGGGGGCTGCTGGGGTTGGAGCGGGGTTGGAGCTTGGTCAGCCGCTGGGGACCGCCGGGGTTGGGGAGGGTGGGGAATGTCAGCCGCTGGGGACCGCTGGGGTTGGGGAGGGTGGGGAGAGTCTAGAAATGGGGTTGGGACAAAGTCAGCTGCTGGGGACCGCTGGGGTTGGGGCGGATGGGGGAGGAGAAGGAGGGGAGGAGGGGATGGGGAAGAGAGGGGGCGGAAGGAAGAGGGGGAGGGTAGAGGAGGGGAAGGAAGGGGGAGAGGAAAGGGGAGAGGAAGGGGGAGGGGGAGGGGAAGAGGAAGGGGGAAAGAAAGGGGGAGACGAGCAAGGCGCTGGTGTGGAGAGCGTGAGAGATATGGGTGGCAGGAGAAAGAGCTGCTTGCGGCGGCTGGAACTGGTAAGAGTATCTTGCAGGGCGTTTTTTAGAAGTTTTCAAAAACACCCTGGTGTATTTTGAGTTGACTCAAAAAACACCCTGCAGAGATATGCCTGACAGGAGAAAGAGCTGCTTCCAGCGGTTAGAACTGGTAAGTGGATCTTTTGGCTGAGTGTGCAGCCCTTTCACAACTGTATACAAACTGATATGTATACATTTGGTTCTTGCAATGTATACAATTGGTTCTTGCAATGTATACAATTGGTTCTTGCAATACATACATTTGGTTCTTGCAGTGTATACATCTGTACTGGAACCCTAGGGGCCTGGAGATTGTGCCTCCATTAGCGTGGGCGTTCTCTCATCCCTCCACGCTTCCCTTCCTCCTAGGGCTCTGGGAATGCACCCGCATCTCCTTGTTGCACTCTTATACGCATGACCACTCCCCTTGTTGGCGCATGACCACTCCCCTTGTTGGCGCATGACCACTCCCCTTGTTGGCGCATGACCACTCCCCTTGTTGGCGCATGACCACTCCCCTTGTTGGCGCATGACCACTCCCCTTGTTGGCGCATGACCACTCCCCTTGTTGGCGCATGACCACTCCCCTTGTTGGCGCATGACCACTCCCCTTGTTGGCGCATGACCACTCCCCTTGTTGGCGCATGACCACTCCCCTTGTTGGCGCATGACTACTCCCCTTGTTGGCGCATGACTACTCCCCTTGTTGGCGCATGACCACTCCCCTTGTTGGCGCATGACTACTCCCCTTGTTGGCGCATGACTACTCCCCTTGTTGGCGCATGACTACTCCCCTTGTTGGCGCATGACTACTCCCCTTGTTGTGATGATACTCCCCTTGTTGGCGCATGACTACTCCCCTTGTTGGCGCATGACCATCCCCTTGTTGGCGCATGACTATTCCCCTTGTTGGCGCATGACTACTTCCCCTTGTTGGCGCATGACTATCTTCCCTATTCTTGTTGGCGCATGACTATTCCCCCTTGTTGGCGCATGACTATTCCCCTTGTTGGCATGACTATTCCCCTTGTTGGCGCATGACTATTCCCCTTGTTGGCGCATGACTACTCCCCTTGTTGGCGGCGCATGACTACTCCCCTTGTTGGCGCATGACTATTCCCTTGTTGGGCATGACTATTTCCCCGTTGGCGCATGACTTTCCCCTTGTTGGCGCATGACTACTCCCCTTGTTGGCGCATGACTATTCCCTTGTTGGCGCATGACTATTCCCCTTGTTGGCGCATGGACTATTCCCCTTGTTGGCGCATGACTACTCCCCTTGTTGGCGCCATGACTATTCCCCTTGTTGGCGCATGACTATTCCCCTTGTTGGCGCATGACTATTCCCCTTGTTGGCGCATGACTATTCCCCTTGTTGGCGCATGACTATTCCCCTTGTTGGCGCATGACTATTCCCCTTGTTGGCGCATGACTATTCCCCTTGTTGGCGCATGACTATTCCCCTTGTTGGCGCATGACTATTCCCCTTGTTGGCGCATGACTACTCCCCTTGTTGGCGCATGACTATTCCCCTTGTTGGCGCATGACTATTCCCCTTGTTGGCGCATGACTATTCCCCTTGTTGGCGCATGACTATTCCCCTTGTTGGCGCATGACTATTCCCCTTGTTGGCGCATGACTATTCCCCTTGTTGGCGCATGACTATTCCCCTTGTTGGCGCATGACTATTCCCCTTGTTGGCGCATGATACTCCCCTTGTTGGCGCATGACTATTCCCCTTGTTGGCGCATGACTACTCCCCTTGTTGGCGCATGACTATTCCCCTTGTTGGCGCATGACTACTCCCCTTGTTGGCGCATGACTATTCCCCTTGTTGGCGCATGACTACTCCCCTTGTTGGCGCATGATTATTCCCCTTGTTGGCGCATGACTATTCCCCTTGTTGGCGCATGACTATTCCCCTTGTTGGCGCATGACTACTCCCCTTGTTGGCGCATGACTATTCCCCTTGTTGGCGCATGACTATTCCCCTTGTTGGCGCATGACTATTCCCCTTGTTGGCGCATGACTCTCCCCTTGTTGGCGCATGACTATTCCCCTTGTTTGGGCATGACTATTCCCCTTGTTGGCGCATGACTATTCCCCTTGTTGGCGCATGACTATTCCCCTTGTTGGCGCATGACTATTCCCCTTGTTGGCGCATGACTATTCCCCTTGTTGGCGCATGACTACTCCCCTTGTTGGCGCATGATATTCCCTTGTTGGCGCATGACTATTCCCCTTGTTGGCGCATGACTATTCCCCTTGTTGGCGCATGACTACTCCCCTTGTTGGCGCATGACTATTCCCCTTGTTGGCGCATGACTATTCCCCTTGTTGGCGCATGACTATTCCCCTTGTTGGCGCATGACTATTCCCCTTGTTGCGCATGACTATTCCCCTTGTTGGCGCATGACTACTCCCCTTGTTGGCGCATGACTATTCCCCTTGTTGGCGCATGACTATTCCCCTTGTTGGCGCATGACTATTCCCCTTGTTGGCGCATGACTACTCCCCTTGTTGGCGCATGACTATTCCCCTTGTTGGCGCATGACTATTCCCTTGTTGGCGCATGACTATTCCCCTTGTTGGCGCATGACTACTCCCCTTGTTGGCGCATGACTATTCCCCTTGTTGGCGCATGACTATTCCCCTTGTTGGCGCATGACTACTCCCTTGTTGGCGCATGACTATTCCCCTTGTTGGCGCATGACTATTCCCCTTGTTGGCGCATGACTATTCCCCTTGTTGGCGCATGACTACTCCCCTTGTTGGCGCATGACTATTCCCTTGTTGGCGCATGACTACTCCCCTTGTTGGCGCATGACTATTCCCCTTGTTGGCGCATGACTATTCCCCTTGTTGGCGCATGACTATTCCCTTGTTGGCGCATGACTACTCCCCTTGTTGGCGCATGACTATTCCCCTTGTTGGCGCATGACTATTCCCCTTGTTGGCGCATGACTATTCCCTTGTTGGCGCATGACTACTCCCCTTGTTGGCGCATGACTATTCCCCTTGTTGGCGCATGACTATTCCCTTGTTGGCGCATGACTATTCCCCTTGTTGGCGCATGACTATTCCCCTTGTTGGCGCATGACTATTCCCCTTGTTGGCGCATGACTATTCCCCTTGTTGGCGCATGACTACTCCCCTTGTTGGCGCATGACTATTCCCCTTGTTGGCGCATGACTATTCCCCTTGTTGGCGCATGACTATTCCCCTTGTTGGCGCATGACTACTCCCCTTGTTGGCGCATGACTATTCCCCTTGTTGGCGCATGACTACTCCCCTTGTTGGCGCATGACTATTCCCCTTGTTGGCGCATGACTATTCCCCTTGTTGGCGCATGACTATTCCCTTGTTGGCGCATGACTACTCCCCTTGTTGGCGCATGACTATTCCCCTTGTTGGCGCATGACTATTCCCCTTGTTGGCGCATGACTATTCCCCTTGTTGGCGCATGACTACTCCCCTTGTTGGCGCATGACTATTCCCCTTGTTGGCGCATGACTATTCCCCTTGTTGGCGCATGACTATTCCCCTTGTTGGCGCATGACTATTCCCCTTGTTGGCGCATGACTATTCCCCTTGTTGGCGCATGACTATTCCCCTTGTTGGCGCATGACTACTCCCCTTGTTGGCGCATGACTATTCCCCTTGTTGGCGCATGACTATTCCCCTTGTTGGCGCATGACTATTCCCCTTGTTGGCGCATGACTACTCCCCTTGTTGGCGCATGACTATTCCCCTTGTTGGCGCATGACTATTCCCCTTGTTGGCGCATGACTATTCCCCTTGTTGGCGCATGACTATTCCCCTTGTTGGCGCATGACTATTCCCCTTGTTGGCGCATGACTACTCCCCTTGTTGGCGCATGACTATTCCCCTTGTTGGCGCATGACTATTCCCCTTGTTGGCGCATGACTATTCCCCTTGTTGGCGCATGACTATTCCCCTTGTTGGCGCATGACTACTCCCCTTGTTGGCGCATGACTATTCCCCTTGTTGGCGCATGACTATTCCCCTTGTTGGCGCATGACTATTCCCCTTGTTGGCGCATGACTATTCCCCTTGTTGGCGCATGACTATTCCCCTTGTTGGCGCATGACTATTCCCCTTGTTGGCGCATGACTATTCCCTTGTTGGCGCATGACTACTCCCCTTGTTGGCGCATGACTATTCCCCTTGTTGGCGCATGACTATTCCCCTTGTTGGCGCATGACTATTCCCCTTGTTGGCGCATGACTATTCCCCTTGTTGGCGCATGACTATTCCCCTTGTTGGCGCATGACTATTCCCCTTGTTGGCGCATGACTACTCCCCTTGTTGGCGCATGACTATTCCCCTTGTTGGCGCATGACTATTCCCCTTGTTGGCGCATGACTATTCCCCTTGTTGGCGCATGACTACTCCCCTTGTTGGCGCATGACTATTCCCCTTGTTGGCGCATGACTATTCCCCTTGTTGGCGCATGACTATTCCCCTTGTTGGCGCATGACTATTCCCCTTGTTGGCGCATGACTATTCCCCTTGTTGGCGCATGACTACTCCCCTTGTTGGCGCATGACTATTCCCCTTGTTGGCGCATGACTATTCCCCTTGTTGGCGCATGACTATTCCCCTTGTTGGCGCATGACTACTCCCCTTGTTGGCGCATGACTATTCCCCTTGTTGGCGCATGACTATTCCCCTTGTTGGCGCATGACTATTCCCTTGTTGGCGCATGACTACTCCCCTTGTTGGCGCATGACTATTCCCCTTGTTGGCGCATGACTATTCCCCTTGTTGGCGCATGACTACTCCCCTTGTTGGCGCATGACTATTCCCCTTGTTGGCGCATGACTATTCCCCTTGTTGGCGCATGACTATTCCCCTTGTTGGCGCATGACTACTCCCCTTGTTGGCGCATGACTATTCTCCCTTGTTGGCGCATGACTATTCCCCTTGTTGGCGCATGACTATTCCCCTTGTTGGCGCATGACTATTCCCCTTGTTGG